TTGGTTCGTTGCCAGCCAGCCAGCCAGCCAGCCAGCCAGCCAGCCAGCCAGCCAGCCAGCCAGCCAGCCAGCCAGCCAGCCAGCCAGCCAGCCAGCCAGCCAGCCAGCCAGCCAGCCAGCCAGCCAGCCAGCCAGCCAGCCAGCCAGCCAGCCAGCCAGCCAGCCAGCCAGCCAGCCAGCCAGCCAGCCAGCCAGCCAGCCAGCCAGCCAGCCAGCCAGCCAGCCAGCCAGCCAGCCAGCCAGCCAGCCAGCCAGCCAGCCAGCCAGCCAGCCAGCCAGCCAGCCAGCCAGCCAGCCAGCCAGCCAGCCAGCCAGCCAGCCAGCCAGTCAGTCAGTCAGTCAGTTTCAAACATAGTGTAGACATCCCATGTCCCCTTGTTTACTTTCGCTTTGATGGATAGAGAGAAGATACATCGGTTTATAGGCTTCGCGAAGGCTTTCACCAACTGGTGTCATTTCGTCTCTCCGATTCTGGTGAAGAATAAGTTTATTTTTATATTTTATCTTTTGTCTGTGCTTTGAAGTTTGTTTAGTGATTGGATTAGTTTTCTGGGGTATGGTTGCTAGCCGTATACCCAACCTTCCCTCTTTGTTCGGGCTTAGAACCATCTAGTAACTAGTGAACTAGGTAACCAGTTGATGTTGTCAAATCCTAGGAAACGTTCCATAACTGGTCAGCAACCACTTCTAGTAAAAGGGTTGAAAGTGAAGTGCTGGAATGTGTCAAACTTTTGACTTATTTTGAGAATTGCATCAGCGGAAACGGGCTGGTGTGTTGTTGACGAAATATCAGCTCAGATGCAGAATGCTCTTTTTCGGTTTAGCAACTTGCGTTATCTCTGGCGTAGACTTACAAGGTACCCGAATATCTATTAAAGGATGAGTATACTGCTCTGCAATTCATTCTGTTCCGTTGTACTGCATTAAGAAATGGTCACTACAAGTAGAAGACATTTAGTGTTTACGATGTTGTAATCGCAGGTGTCTTCGCAGCATTGCTCTGGTTTGGTGGAATCACCGTGTGAATAATGTCGTGATCGGATAAAGTGCAGTAGCAATACAAGCAAGTTGATTGGTGTGATTATGACCCTTTGTTCACTGAGATGGCTTAGACATGTACTGTGATGTCGAGTGGGTCACTGGCTACTTCGACGTTTAGTGCTAGGGACTCGGTTGGAAAAGGGTATATGGTGACCAGACGAAGACGTGGCTCCAGTTGATGAAGTCCCTGACTGTTGGTTTGAGCCATGTGGGGAGATAAAAGCTCCCTGTTTGGGGTCCTCAAAATGAAAGAAATCAGTGCTTGAGTACTTTTGGTGACATGGATGAGAACTAGTTGGGATTGCGCAAGTGTATTCACTCCTTGATGTCTTCTAAATGTTAAATATTTGCACTAACCTTTATTTGTAGATTGTTTATTCTGTCACACAACTTCATCTACTTTGGCATATGATGAGCAGAGATTCAGTAATGAATATCTCACTCCACCTAATTATATTCTTGGACTTAAGTACATTGGTTTTATCCTACCCTATTGTATAGTTGTGTGTTAATGCATACATTGCAATAGCCGAGTTTTCCTCAAGATTATTGATCCTACTGAGGTCTATTATTTTATATTCGGCTGAATTCCTATATTCGAATCATCTAACGGACACCGACTAGGCAGTTTGACCTATGTACTTGACCTCACAGTCATTACATGGAATTTGATAGATTATATTATTTTGTTTAACTGGATGTTCAAGCCAGCCGACAAAGCTTATCTCTGGATGAGTCTATAGGTTTAGGCGACGCCCTAATTCTAGCTCTGTTGAAGATCCTACGAAAAGTTTCTGATGTTCTTTCTTTATATGTTAACACAATGGAGGCTGTGAACACGTACCTTCTTGCGTTGTCGTTATTATTCATAGTCGTGTTACTGTTGTTATTTCGTTTCTTGTATGTTCGTAAAAATTTTTTCATAAACTGTGTGGGATAACTATTAATTATTAACGCTACTTTTATATGCTTCAGTCAGATTAGTAGGACATAGAAATTTAGCCAAATGTAGAGTAATAGACCCCGATAATATCAATCATTTGGAAAGAAATCGGCTATTGTAATCCACATATACGTTAACACACAAGCACACAGTACAATGGGTGGGATAAAACCACTGTACTTAAGGTCAGTATAATTAGGTGGAGAGAGAGATTGATTACTGAGTCCTTGTTCATTGAATCAACCAACATCCAATACATGTAATAGGAATGGTGCAACTCCTATACCAGAGATGTAGAGAATTTTACTGCCAATAAAAACAAAGAATCGGAAGTGATAGGACTATAAAAATCAGATGTCGAAAGGGGTGTGATTCCATTAATATGCTTACGAGCGATAATAATTTCTGCTCAAGACGTCATCCAGCAAATTATGCTGTGAAATAGTAAGGAATATTTGTAGCTCAGGTGGATGGTCTTGATCATATTGTGTTCCCTGAGCTGGATAGTTTAATTGTAGAGCTTTCATCGTCTTTCTAGATAACATCATCATCACCAACTTCACTATGAAGTGAGTTGTCAATATCTCTCCATGACGGATTCAGTAGCCTACTCTGAACAACTGCTTTGTGATTGGTTGTTTCCTTTGATTGTTATGTCATTGACTGTATAGATTTTCCAGTTGGCGCTTTCCCTGCTTCACCTCTGAACTTTCTTATTCAATTATCATTTTCCTTACTGATTAACAGATTATTCATGCATGTTCATGCATCTACTGATTGCTGACTGACTGACTGACTGATTGACTGACCTGAATGCCATGATTCTAGGAATTCCCTGATATTCTTTGTCTTTCCTCTCCCCGTTCACAATTTCTATATTGTCAGAGTTCAACTCATAGTTGTTATCCAGGTGCATTGAAATGGTTGATGAAATGTTGTGACGTTTAATAGCCAACTGGTGTTCATATAAATGAAGGCGAAGAGGACGACCACTTTGTCCAGTGTATTGTTGATCATAATTATTGCAGTTGATTTTGTGAATGATGTTCGGTTTGTGTTCTTTGACTGTCACGTCCTTTGATCTTCATAATATGGTTAGAAGGGAAGTTGTTGGTTTATGAGACACTGCACTAATTCTAATTGGTCTCAGTAATCTTGTCATCATCTTTGATATATTCTTTGTGTATGGTAGGATGATGTGTGTTATTGATTTCTGTTGATGACATTGTAGTTGATGATGTACGGGATAGGCATTTTCTGATGAAGATTCGTGGGTAGGCGTTCTTCTTCGGGACAGACATCAAGTAGTTTTCTTCATTTCTCTGTGAAGTTGTTGTGCTGCCGTATGTTCTGGCTCTTTTCAATAGAGTTTGTATTCAACTTAATTTGTGTATGGTTGGTTTGGTGCTATTGTAGTTGAGGAATTGACCAGTGTGTATTGGCTTCTTGTACACTTGGGTTTCCAGCTTTTCGGGATTTTTTCTACTGACTAAAGCATCTAGGATAGACAGTTGGTTGTTTGACTATTTCTGCATTGTGAATTTGATGTCATTGAAAATGTTGTTGATCAAACTGTGGATGTTTTCTATATCATCTTTTTTAACGATGACAAAGTGTCGTCCACATAGTGAATGCAAATGTTTGGTTTGACCACAGTTGGAATGATGGCTTCCAGTCTTTGTATCTTTGTTTATGCAGTTAATTGCGATATCAGTGATCGCTATGGAGTTCCGTTCATCTGTTTGTATATCTTGCCGTTGATTTGGATTTATGATGTCACACAAAGGTCGATGAGTTTCATCAGACTTTTATATTTGAATTTTGTGCGTTCTGAAAGGTTTGTATCTTTATTGAGTTGTTGAACATCATTTCCTTGGCCAGTTGGTTCGATGGATGTGTATAGTGCTGTGATATCGAAGGATACCATTAATTCATCGTTTTCTATGTTAATGTTTTCTATCTTTCCTAGTAAATCAGTGAATGACAATCAAAATATAAACTGAAAAGCATGCTCACGGTGCAGCACATTACAACATTGACAACTGCAATTGAAAAATCAAGCAGACGATACAAAAAACAACAAAGAAATGTCCTCAGGAAAAAGCTGCTCAAAATCTCGGAAGCATCTGAAATCGAAGTTTTCTCCAGTAGATCTTCAAGTTTGTGCGACATTAGACGTAAATCATCATCAGTGAAATGCAAATGTTCTAGGGTCCCTTCATAGGTCAAACAGCGTATGCTCATCTTCTCACAGCTCCTCACAGTTTTTTGCATGATCCGGTTCTGTCCAGTCCAGTTCAGTCGACCACAAACAGAAAGATCATTGGTGATAGTAGGCGGCAACCTAATCTCACTGCTTCCTGTCTTCACAGGCATCACTGAGCTTTCCATTGTGAACCACTAGGCATGTAGTATCATATAGTATGTATCTGCTGTTGAATGAGGTTGATAGAGGTTTGTGGCACTAAACTGTAGTGTTGAAGCAGCTGCCAAAGTACTTGTCGGTCTATGCTATCGAAGGCTTTTTCAAAGTTGATGAAGGTGAGGTGTTGACTGCCATTCTCTGCTCTCTTGTATAAGAAATAGGATTCAAAGCAGACGTTAATTATGCAATATTGTGTTGTACATATTATTAGGATGATGCCAAAATACAGTTCTAGCTCGCCCAACGTCTTTTTGTGATAATCTATTCAGATTTGTGAAAACCTATCCACTTCGTTGACTTTAAGTCTATAGAACAAAATTTCTATACCATTCAAAACTTTAAACACCATTGTTTATTACTTACCATCCAAAGTGATCAATTTCCGAGTTTGATATGTTTTTTTCGAAAAATGTTAGCATGTACGATCAATGGATTCACATTGTGTTTGTCTACTAAACTTACCAACTTATTAACCAATCAAATTTGAGCAGAGATTTAGAGTAGGGAAAAAAGAGGAATTTTGATTGGTCATTTGATATATGAATCAAAGTGAGTATTGCTATTGTAACTTGAATTTTTTCATTTATTTCCAAAGCACATTAGTTAATCATACTTAAAATGTGCTCCACAGTGTTAACAAACATAGAAATATCCATCATACTCCATAAAACAAAGTGAAAACAAATATTTCAAAAAAAACTTGATAAAATGCTGTCTCAGTCCAATTTTTTGAGGATATTATTATATCTACTTTTCCAGTATCATAATAATAATTATTATTACTATCAATCAGTTGATGCTTCTGTAAACAGTGCTATTATTGTGACATTTGTAATCGAGGAGAATGTAGCCATCGGTTCTGAAGTTGGTAGAATTCAATTAGACCCTGAAATGGATAAACCAACAAAGGTGAAGAATACTAAAGACGGAAAATCTGATGAAATAACATTCACGTTACAAGATACATATTATTTTGACTTTGATACGACGTACACCGATAGAATATTGGTGCGTAGAGAGTTGGATCGTGATACAGATCGTAAACTTTGCAGTGAAAGTGGTTGGCCAGAGATTTGTGCTTGGTCTGGTGTAATATTTGTCAGTGATGGACGCTTGTTAAGTCTACGGATTGTAATTCGTGATGTTAATGATAATATACCAAAGTGGCCGAGTAAAGATAGTTCAGAACAACCTGTACTAGAAGTGTGGATTACAGAGAATCGTCCATTCGGTTCAACTTTAGACTTACCGCTTGCTTTTGATCCAGATATTGGTGAAAATTCTATAGTTAAATATGAGCTAGCTTCATCCAATAATAATGTAACATCTACTTTCAAAATATCGAATTCTGCTAGTCCAAATGGACCTATTTATCATTTAATTGTTCAAGGAGAACTTGATCGTGAAACCTTATCTGTATATCATTTAACAGTAGCAGCGGTAGATGGTGGTGGTAATCGTGGCTATGCAAAACTACTGGTGAATATTGCTGATGAAAATGATAACAGTCCAATTTTTGAACATTGCAAAAATTTGTCTAAATTGGATTCAGATGTTTTTACACAACCCTGTGAAATAGTAATCAGTGTTGATGAAGACATTCCAATTGGCAGTTTATTACCAGAACATCCAGTGGCAAGTGATGCAGATGAAGGTGAATTTGGACATGTAACTTATCGATTCTCATTATCTGCATCTGATACAGCTAGAAGAGATTTTAAAATTGATCATGAAACTGGTGCAATCATTGTTCGAGGCCCACTTGACTATGATACAGGTGGTCAAACACAATACACTTTTGGAATTGTCGCTGAGGATGGTGGATTACCACCTTTATCAGCGACTACAAGAATTATAGTGAATATAAGGGATAAAAATGATAATGCACCACAGATAACCATCACTCCAGCTTTTTTATATGATGAAAAGTATAATACAACTGTTGATACAACAAAATCTCTTCTACGCCTTATTGAGAATACTCCACCTGGTGTATTGATTGCTACTATCACTGCTCATGATCCTGATTCAGATGAAAATGGGAAATTCACATGTGAACTTGGCCAAACAGATGAATTAAATTTAATTTATTTAAGGAATTTAGGGAAAATTAGTGTTTATCAATTGAGTTCATTGAGAATTATTGATCGTGAAATACAACCTGAATTAAGAGTCACTTTAAAATGTGAAGATAATGGTATACCAAGTCAAAAATCCATTGAAATATTAACTATACGCATACTGGATATGAATGATAATCCACCAAAGTATACAAATAAAAGATTCAGCTTTCAAGTGAGTTTGTCTATTAAATAATGATATTGGATTTTTCAATTTGGTATTCATCATAGAATGATATTACTTAGAAGGATATTGGAAACCTGGGAGTACTGGACACTTGTTTCGTCCTAGTATGGGACTCCTAAGCAGTGCTCACCCATCATCCCACCCCAGGGATTGAACTAGCAACCTCCAGGTCCCATGGCCACCACTTTACCATTGAGCTAGCCACTGGGTCGGAATCCAGTGGTCCATATTTGTAACTTGTGTCAATCCACGACATAGCGTGACCGCTATCCAATATCATCGTTGAGTGTTTGTCGTCACACCCACTAGGTTTGCCCCACTGGTCACGACTTCTCACTTGAACTTCGGGAATCACCTCTCGGAGCTGGTTACCATTTAGCATTAGTTGACCATTTATTATTACTAGTAAGATAGGACTCATCATGGATTAACATCAGTTAGAGAGCCATACAAAATCAAGAAGCACTGGACAGCTGTTTCGTCCAACTAGTATGGGATTCCTCAACGGCACACTAGGAATCGAATTCGCTACCTTCAGGTTTCATGGAGAACCCACTAACCATTCAGCCAATGAGTTTGTATCTACAGTTTCCAACTTCTTTCATCTGTACATAGATAGGGGCTCATTATGACTGTTATATTCCTTTCAAATAATAATTTATTCACTTGAGTACAGATTGTGCGATAAAATACTCAAATCAAGTTTTTGATTTCATTATAACTTGCTTGGTTGTGGCTAGCAGAAGAACCCAGGATGCGCTTTTCGTCCTATTCGGGACTCGTCAGCTAGATGCACCTGCACGCAAGTGCGGAGTGATGGTGTTCCCACTTAGCCTCGGACCTTCTAACTATCACTTCAAACGTCAAGGTGTTATCCACTGTGCCAGAGAGGAACGATAGCTACTTCTTGCACAATGGGTATTATTATTACTATTTATTAACATGCTTGTGATTCTCCGTTTTTGGGATTTCATAGCCTGAAATGATCTAGACATTGGTTAAACGACATTCATTATTTTGGTATTTGCCTTAGCCAGTGAATGTAAAACAAAATAACTTTGTTTCAACTGATGTTTAATGCTGGTAATGGCTTTATCAAAATTATGGTAAGCTGGAATTTACAATATCCCCCAAGCTTATATATATGATAACTTGACAAGTGTTCTTCTGAATGGGTGATTCTGCGCTGTCGAATCATTGAAACAAACCTGATGTCCGTGTGTAGAGTACTACGTGTGATATGTGTGTGCGCATGAATTACAGATTGAGATTTGTATGTTGAGGTGTGTTGAGACCAGGTTGAACTTCATTTTACTTCCGCACTAAGGAGTAGGTAATTTTGATTCCACTATATCTGAAGCGATTCTCCTATGAGACATTCCTCATAATTTCTAAAGCCTTTTTAGATAACTTCAGTAATGTTTGTATAGGTTGATACACCTCGGATGAAATTAGTGTTCTACAGAACATCAAACACATTGCAGAACACCTTAGTTCATTTGAAGCACGACATTCCTCTTGATTCACAGTCTAACTGCGTTTATAAAATAAAATGGTCAGACTATGATGCAATATACATACGAAAAACTTACTATGAAATAAAAATTAGAAGAGGAAAGAACATCGAAGAGCTTCCATCCGACTTCCTAGAAATCTGGTGGAGCTGGAGAATTTGCTTTTAGGTGGTGAGAAACGTATCCCAAACATTTTCAAATCGCTACTCAGAGTCCTTGATGGACACCACCCGATGTACAGCATAACATACGTTCTAATATGCTTGATTCTACCACAACTTTGCAACAGTTAAAGTGTTTTATATTTCTTTAAATATCTTGTCTTATTCATAAGACCTGTTCGAGGTATACCACAGGCTGCAATAATCTCCTAAATGAATATTCATTGTAAACGCCAGAACTGTGAGTAGTTAAATTTCGTGCGTTCAAACAAAATCAACAGAAATCAATGATCAACTGAACTCTAGATATCCCAGTATCAAGTTCAGCTCAGAAAAAGAAATGGATAAGGGGAAATGGCCTTTCTTTGATTGTCTTGTTAAGCGCAAAGAAAATAGACATTTAAGCATAACCACTTTCACGAAAGCAACACATTCAAACATGTATATTTGAATTTCAATTCATCACATCCAATTAGTGAGAAAGTTTCTGTTGCCTTCTCCAGTCTCTTAACAATAGCTCACACACTAGTAACAGATGAAAATGAAAGAGTTAAATAATTCAGAATGTGTGAACAAGATACTTGAAGTGAATAACTATCCGGTGAAATCCGTTCGTAAAATTGAAAATCATATTAAACTAGGTGGTAAAACTACTCCAAGATCATGGGCCTCAACAAAAGTTGTCTCTTACAGATCACACAAACACACACATACACACACTGGATGGAATTAGGAGATTGCTCAACAAATACAACGTCATCAGAGTGCTCTACAGAATATCAAACACATTTCAGAGCACCTTCATTCATTTGAAGGACGAGATGCCTCTAGATTCACAATCTATTTGTGTTTATCAAATAAAATGCTCAGACTGTGATGCAGTGTATACATAGGTCAAACATCTCATGAAAACAAAATTAGGGGAAAGGAACAGCGAAAAGCTTCCAGTCGACCCTCTAGAAATCGAGTAGAGCTGGAAAAACTTGAAAATAGATGAGTTATAGCTGTGCATGCTACAATTTCAGGTCACAAGGTGGATTTTGACAATATTGAAATCCAGAACAACTCATGTCAAGTTATCACATATAAGCTTAGGGGAAAATTAATAAAACACTCGTTTATAGCTTCAGTTATCTGGTCATTGGTTACGTAACAAATATAACTGTGCAATAAACACCGGAGGGCCAGTTAGAGCAGAGATCATCAGGAATGAACTCAATAAAATTCATCTCGAAGCTGGTTCTGTTGTATGAGTTGGTGAGCTTTGCTCTGAAAGAATGAAACCAGTGACCGTTGATTAGATCACTCTGGTCTGACTGAGGAAATCTACAGATCAGCCTGAATGCTTTCTAACTACTCAAGTTGTCCAGTAGTAGTATTTTTAATTTAGTAAAATGAACAAGCTAGAGAATAGCGGCCTATGTGAAAAATCTTAAGGCAGATTGTTTTACTATTCTAGACTTCCTATGTTCAACAAAGTAGTATATTAAGACCCAGACAAGACAGATAAAAAGCAGAGTTCAGAATTCAAAGAGTGAATATTCTTGTTGATTACTGAACTGACTTCATCTGTCTCTATCGGTATATGCGCTTCTTGAATGGATGTCTGGAGATTGCATCAGTTTCCATCAGGATATTATTTGCTTAGTGGTGATTAGTGGTGGAATCTAGCACATAAGTTTCGACCTGCCTGGGGCTCATCAGTCGGCTGTTTCCCAATCCCAGTACTAACCATGACTATAGTTACAGAATGCTATGCACCGATGTAGATTAACGCAAAGAATACTTCTTCCAGCCATTAACATTAATGTCAAGAGTGTGAATATCAAGCATTTTATTAGCCACTTATGTGGATGTAGTCTTCAACAGTTTCGTTTATTTACGACAAGAGATAACTAATTCATTATAGTTTGCTGCTTTCCTAAATAAGTCTAGCCAAGGAACTATGTACTTTGAGAATGAAACAAACAAGACCTTTAGAAGTAAATGCATAATTGTCGTTGATAAGCCTATGACGCATTGCAAGCATCTTGTTGTGAAGGAAAGACCCACTCTCCCGTCCTTCATATTGGTAAAATTAAAAGCATCATCCTGGTGAAACTTAACACTTTTTGAAAGTGTTTTCCAGTACGCACGTAACTTACTCATTTGTTTTGATAACACCTCAAGAAGCTAGTTCCCATCACAAATTTTTGTTGGATATGAGCAATAACTCTTGGACAATAAAGTGGATCCATTCTCTTTTTCTTTTCCGTCCTTTACTTCATTCCAAGCCTATGCGATTCGGTTAGAAGGGTTAGGTTCTGTTGGATCGATTGGTGCTGGATATCAGTCAACGTATCCATACATCCTTTACATGGTCCACCTAAACATGAGTAATTATTCTCAGTGAACCTGGTTGAGACTGCATATACCTTACTGTTAATTAATCACGTAAATACTAAAGAAAGATGTTTCCTTTTTCAGTCAGTGGATCGTGCGCTCGAACCCCTCTCCACTTATAGAAGTTTGACTGACAAAGTAGTATCACCAGACCTAACACAAAAGGTGGGGTTCCTTATCTACAGTATGATCGTACTACCATTCCTAATCATTCACGTGACTGACTGGTGATATAATTAAGGGAATATGTCGTTACGTCACTATGTTGAGTGCAAGTTTCCAATAAAATATATTTTCAGGTAACACTAAATAAGGATATTTTGGAGGGATTTAACAAATACAGATAAACTGATTTAGTAGGAATTTAGTTCATAAATATAGGTGTAAGTTGTCCAATTTTAGCGTTAATATTTCTTTCGTTTGATACTCAAAAGAACAAGAATACTACTCACTACTATTGTAAGTAGATAGTTGAACTTTATATTCATTTTCAATTCAGAATGTGTTCAAATAACCAACTATATGAGGATTTTCTAAGATGCATTTTATTATTTTATCACTACTGATGCCTTGAATTGCTATTTCAAGGCGTGAGTCCTATGAATAATTTTTAACCATACATGAATGATGACAAACTTTACATGACACAGCACAGCAGTTCACCTGTATACACTGCACAAGGATATCACTTAGGTTGGGTGATATCCGAACCCGTGACCTACCCGGTTGAAGATCGATTCTTTAAACCAGACAGACACAACTTCAATCATAATCTTGGCACTGTCAAAGATATCATTGCTAATATAAAGAGTCGCAAGTGGCATTAAAATCGCATACTACTTGATCCATGTACACATAAGCTTACGAATGACGGAAAGTGGTTGCTCAAAACCTGCTAAATGATCACGCAAAAACCATGTTATTATAAAAA